AGTTGACTTGGACAATTGCCATTCAACAGGGACAGGAAAACCAGGTGGTGGCTGGAGGGGAGCATGAGCTCAAGAAAGTTGGTGTTTATTTTAAATGGAAAAAAATTACAGCATGGCTGCATAGTGACGGGAGAGACATGTAAGACAGAAAAACTGTGATGTGGGAGAGAAAGAATAAATTATTAGAGCCACGCCCTTGAACAGGGATTAGGAATGAGACTACATGCCTGAAAGACTGCCATGCATTTATGGCTCATTTCCTTATTGCTAATTTGTTTTCTCTTCCATAAATCCTACCCCAGACTAATTTTCTTAAAATACTGTTTTTATTGTAATATTCTAACAGAGTTTTTGCTCCATTACTTATATTTTCTACCTGTTTCACGTTCCTTTGCTTAACTGTCAAGCTGTCCAATCATCTGACTGACTCCCACTGAAGTCACTACAGGTCAACCATGGGGAACATTATCCTCCCTTTATTCAAAGCGTAACTGTACAGACCATCACGGAATAAGATGGATTTACAGAGATAAAAGCTATGATAGGGGACTATAGACAGCACCAAATAAATTCCTATCAGGGAGAAAACGATTCTGCCTGAGTAGTAGAAGAGGGCAGCCAAAGGTATAGAGGGCAGGCGTTTTGAGCAGGACGTGGGAAGGCTGACAAGGAGGGACAAGGAGGGACAAGGAATCGCAGTGTGTGGAGCAAGAGGAGGTGTGGCCGGAGCTGAGGCAGAAGAGGAGACGAGGCTACAAAGGCTGTGCAAGCACCCACTCCCAGTGGAACCAGACTTCCCCTCAAGCTGAAAGCTTCTAGCAGCCACACTCTGTTCTTTACTGTTCCCCACCCAGCCCTACACTTTGCTTTAAGCCCAAGGAGTCACGATAATCCAAAAACCAAGGGGAATGGGTGAGCGATCAGGCCCGACTAGATCAGAGATTTTCAAAAAGAAGTCCAGGCACCCTTGGAGAAGCCCATGACTTTTCAAGGTCTGTATGGGCACAGAAAGTTCTAAAGAGAACAATTTCCAGATCCACTATCTTTATTGGAACGCTTTTTTATGAGTGATATGCCTGAAATATGCCTGAGGCAAGCAGATTTCTAGCAAGTTCTCCTTTCCTTCTTCCTCTTTTGTAATTACCCTTCTTCCATCTCACAGAAAAAAAAAAAAAAAAACGGCATGTCTCTCCCCACCCAGAATCTTCTATTGTGCTTTGTCTCTACGGGGTGCCAAATAATTTGAAAAACTGATATTAGAGAAGCCTTCTTTAATGAAAGCATTGATACCAATACCACCCATATCTACATCTATGATATACATTTCCAATATAGTTTTGTTTTATGCTTAATAATGACTTATCAAAAGTTAATGAGTTATTTGGGTTAATTGCATACTAATAATATTTAAAGTAACATGAACAATAGTTTTTAACAATAAAAGTATTTAAAACCTAAAATTTAAATTGATATTAATATACTTATTTTTGTTGCTGAGGAGTAAGGAGAGCAAAGAAATTGGAAAAAAATATTGTAAAATTGCTAACTGTAAGATGCTCAATTAGAGAATAATTATTTGAACATTTTAGAGGTCAGTGCTAACAGTATGCAAGGGGCGTTTTGTTTCTCGAATGTCTACATGCCCAGGGAGGCAAATGACATGATACAAAGGATCCCTGAATGTGTCACTGGTCCTCCCATGTCACTGTCATCAGTAGAGCTTCTCCCCTCCCACCAACCTTACAACCATTATAGTTTCCTCTCCTAGGATCATTTTCAGTTTCAGCTCCTTTTTCTGACAAAACACTTTCTGTCATGCTCCTGATCTTCTCTGCATCCTGTCAGTACTGGGAGGAACCTTAACATCTGGAGAAGGAACAACTATGTATCATTAGAACATGATCAGCTAGTAGGCAAAGTTTTCTGTCCATTTCTATGTGGTCTATATATAGTCCTCTGCCCTTCTAAAAATGACTGGCAAGACACCAGCAGACTCAAAGTGGGATAAAAGACTGGAAAATATATTCATACAAGTACCCTGCTTCCTGATATAAAATGTGTACAAATAATACTGTTGAATTGAACTGATATCAAAGAGCCTCTTATTGCCTATTTCTGATTCCAGCATTGAATAACATTTTTTTTAAAAAAGGATACCATTCCTTGACATACAGCAAAATAAGCAACAGCAATAAACACAATAGTTATAGCGCTATACCAGTTAATTAGTAAAATTCACCATTAAATAGTAGAGAACACATTCCAGTATTAGCTAAAATCCCAAATTCTCTCAACTCTCCTATGGAATTTTTCCATCCAATCCATCAAATGGGGTAGCAGCAAGCACATAAATAATGTTCAATCTCAATAGCCTCATGCAGTCTTCTGTAATCACGGGGTAAGTCAATCTAAGAGGCAATATTGAACCAAAGAAAGAAGCTGGCTTCTTGCCAACCTTCATACCATAAAGCCTTCTGAAAGGAGACTTCCCAAACAGCTACTACACCAACTCAGCTGTGATATAATGGGCTACTCTTCTGCCCTGATCTCCCTATAAATCCCAGGCTTCTCGTAGGGTGGATGAATAGATACAGAAATACAGATCAGTCCACATGTGTCTACTGTCAAGCTGTATCATCAAAAACTGATGCAAATTAGGCAAATGGTTTCCAGATCCACAAAAGAAATTTCTCCAAAGAATCAAACACATATAGACACTCATGTGAATATTATTTGATCATAAAGGTAATATTTAAATATATAATTAATGGTGTCAATCACTTTAAAACCAACATTCTATCATAACATTCTGCATCAAAATGAAATAGTGGTTGATCGTCACTGTCAAACTGTGGGAAGTATTTCTATGGAAATAATATCATAAATCATGTATACCAGTGATCTTAAATCTGTCTGGGTTCAAATCCAAGCTCTATCACTTTCTAGCTCTAACTTGGGGAAAGTTATTTAATTACTCTATGCTTCCATTTCCTCAGCTATAAAACACAGTCTCTACCACCATGTAAGTTTATTATGACAATTTTTAAAAATACATACTTCCTTGGAACAATGTCTGGTATATAATAAGAACTCAACAAATTGGCTAGGATTCATATTATTTCTCATAATTCAAGTGTGGTCCTAAAGACAATACTTTCTGTATTATCATTAGCCAACCTCAAAAGAATACTTGCATAATGAGCAAAGCTTAACAGTAAGGATAGGAAGAAAAGGATACGAACAAAAGAATAGTCTTCTAGGCTTCCAAATGTTTCAAAAACTGCTCTGGGTCCAAGACCCATTTAAAATCCTAATTAGAATTATGGACATTTTCCTTAGAAAAATCCACTTATACACAAATTTCAGGGCTTCATTCACAGCCTTTCTGAGGTCTACTGAGAGCCAGCAAACCTGAAACGGAGAACTTTCTAGGGTTTAAAATCTTTCAGTCATCAAACTCTATCTCAAGGAACTTTAAACCACTATTTTCCCCCATCCTCCAAAGAAGTTTATAAACATGCTTTTCATTGACAAACATTATGTCTTGTGACACAGCTGTTGACATTTATATATTAATGTCATGGATTAAAACAAAAAGCATCAAATTGTTTTTCTGAAACCCATCAGTAATCTGTAGAAAGATTCCAAATTCGAGAACTATAGCTTCAAATCAATTTCTGGAGTTCCCACTCCAAAGCAGCAGACAGCCATGAGTCCAGAAGTATGGAACCCTTCTGCCTACCAGAAGTTCCTGACCAGTGGCCAACCCAACCCCTCTTTGTCACTCTGTCACAGAGCAGATGGTACTACAGGAAATGTCATTCTGAGTGTGACTAAAACTTTGAGGAAACAGGGGGAGAAATATAAGGATATGATAGTAAAATGCCACCATAAACTGTCAGACCTTTTTGAGACTTTATGAAGTAAATTTTAACATTTTTCATCACTTTTTAAATCTAAAATGACTAATGCTTGTCTTCAGTCCTTTCCTTAAATATATTTTTATGATCTTTCTTTGTACCTTCTCCCTCCACCATGCCTACCACACTGCTTTTTAATAAAAGGACAGGAGTTTTAACTTGAATCTATATTATGCCTTGATGCAAGGTAGAACAGTTCATCTTGCAGCCTCTGCACAGCCGGATGCTGTCACCATCCAGATCTGACCTGTTTGTGCAATCCAGTCAATAAAGCCTCTTTAGGCACACTGACAAGTTGAAGATTCAATCAGTTACAAATAGATGCCATCACCAGTGTCATAATATTAGAAAGTAGCTTTAAAAAACAATGGAAAACAGCTAGTGACAACCACTTCCAGTTTCAAAACTTCTGACTCAACCTATTTAAGAATCTGTGATAAGCATCTTTTAAGAATAACTTTGCTTTATACAGAGGGTGCCAAAAACATGTATGCACATTTTAAGAATGGGAAAAAAACGATTAAAATTGTAATAATATATACCGATAACAAAAGATGAATACAAGTCACATTTGACTTCTGCAATTACAAGAGGTGCTCAAAGTGGTTACCATCAGTGCCCAGACACTTTTGATTACCGTAAACTACTGCTTGAGCGACGGTGACCATCCCTTAAAATGTGTATACATTTTTTTGGCACCCCTGGTATATATGTTGAAATTAACAACATCTTAAGTGCATAGGATTACAGTTCAATTCAAATAAATTGTATACACTGGCAACATGTTGTCCCAGTAACACAAAAATTAACTGGGTTTTCATTTAAAGCCACCCTGAATAAGGGTTTAATTGCAGTACAAGTCTCCTGCATTTCTTCCAAGTCTCTAAGGCTGCTTTTCTAAGCGCTAAGTGTCTTGTCCAAGGTTGGAACTAATAATACAGACCCAGGCCTTACTGCCAAACAGTGACCGTTCCTGCAAATTGCGAAGGTAGAGACAGTCGCGAGCCAGCTCACACACACGTTTGCGCTGCAGACAGGGAGTCTGAGAGGGGGCAGGGAAGAAGCGGGGAGCTGCAGTACCTTTCTTGAACTTGCTGAGCTTGATTAGATGCAGTTCTCAGCGCTCCAAGCTGCCAGACCTCGTCTTCTCCGGAGCCGCAGCGTGGTGGGGGTAGCCAGGCGCACGTCCCTGCAGCCTGCGCAGTCTCGCCCGCAGCAGGCAGCGCGCACAGAGGGAAGCGCACGGGAGAGCCCGCGGGACCGGCAAGTGGACGGGCAATCTGCCTTGCTCTGGAATCTGAGGATGGTGAGGCGAGCCCACGATTGAAATCAAGGGCCAGAAGGGGGAAACAAACAAACAAACAAACAAACAAACAAACCAAAACCTTTGCACTAAGCGCAAGCGAAAATGAAGTCACGGTCAAGTGTTCCCCATAAGAGGGCGGGGCAGCCAGCGAGCAGCCGTTCGGGGGAGAAGGGAGGGTCCAGCTGGGGCTGGGAGGGACCCAGGCGGAGGCCTTCGGGGAAAACGCTATCGCTTTTTCAGCCACCACCACCTCCTCTCCCAGACTGGAGAAACAGAGCTCTGTACCTCCATCGAGTCCCAGATGCAGAGTGGGGGGCGGCGGGCAGTGCAGCGGGCGGGGGCGGCCACCCGGCTCCCTTCCCTATTGGGCTACAACTGGCAGCACGCGAATCGGCTGGGGTTCCCCCGGAGCGCCCTGAACCCAGGGAGTATTGACTCCCAGCGAAAAGAAAAGTGAAAGAGAAAAGAGTAGCAAAGGCGAAGATAAACACCCCGGGCGGTGGCTGGGGGAAGGGCGGGTTGGCAGTGCCTCCTGGAAGAAGACTACCCCAGGTGTCCCGGCTCTCCGCGCCCTGGGCTGGGACGCCTGGCAGGTTTCCACCACTGCCAAGCCCAGCGGCACCGACCTGGAGGGCTAGCGGGGAGGTGGTTGGGGAGTGCTGGCCCAAGGCCTGGACCTGTACCCCCTTGGGCACCTGTAGAGAAAGATGGCTCGGAGCCCACCCACCGCGTTCACTGGGCGGTTCGTGGTGCGGGGAAGTTTCCCCCGTGAACCCAGGAGACTGGGGCGCGGAGCGCATCCAAGTCGCCCAGAGGAAAGGGAGAAAAATGTGTTGGATCGCGATAGGCGGCTACTTCATCCAGACTAGCCCCTTGGTTCGCTGCGCGGGCTGTAAGAAACAAGGCTCTGAAGTCTTAATAGACAAAACGTTGGAAAAAGTCACTTGGGTAACTACTTTGTCCAAGGCAATTGGCACGGAGAGTGAACTTGAAGGAATATGCCTGGCTGCTGATCTAGTGCGTAGTCAGGTGTAAACACTACCCCTGGTCCCATTTAATGTACTATTTTATAGCCGACGGAAGGGACTGATTTCTTTGAGGCTGAGCGATCTGCATGCCACACAGAATCAGCAGAAAAGGCCCCCTGCCCGTCCTGGAAGCACTTTAGAAAACTTTGCACACATGAATCACCGAAAACACCTAATAGAAGACACTTCCCCAAATCCTTCAGTTATGTCATAGTAAAAAATGATAAGGCTCCCTAGAGCTTAGTAAAACATTAACTATGCTTTCTTTGCGTTACATATATGTTAAAAATGAAATCCAAAAATACTAGCAGTGATTTAAATATTAAATGTGCATTAAGTTCCACATAAACTCATTTCACAATTTTTATGAAAAAGCTGAGCTCTAGTCACTATCAAAAAAATAAGTGAGATACCAAAATGTAAAAAGCGTTTTTTACAACCATTCAAAATGCTACCATAGGTGGAAATTATATTTAAAGAAATGAAGCAATCAGCCTTTTCTGTCCAAGACAGTGTAATGTTGAATTTTCTTGTGATAATGCCAGTGATTTCAAATCCACTCAGACTTTTTCATAGCAATATGTTGAAGCTCTGCTTTGCAGAATGAACATGCATTATGAGAGCAGACCTGCAGCTGGACTGGAGTCCGTGGCAAACGATGCAGCAGCCCCAAAAGGACTAACGTATGTGTCTATGTGAATACAGAGATTAGGGTAAGAGAAGTAGATCTGTGTCCCCAGCCTCAACTTGGATGGCTGCAGTGCTTCTTGGGTTCCTGCAAAGGGTACTCCTCCCAGACCTTCTTCAGCCCCGTGTGTGCTCTGCAGCTAGTGGCAAAAGTAGATGGGAGGATGGGGGTTGTTCCTTTGTGAGGGTGAAAAGGATAACTATTGCATTGTTCTGTACACCTGAAACTAACAATAAAATAAAGAAAAAAAAATCACCAGCAGGAAAAAACAAACAAAAAAACCTAATATCAACAACATCTTCCACTGCAATTAAAACTTCATTAAACCTCAAAAAAAAAAAAAAGTGGATGTCCAGACGCTAAGGTATCTCATTGGCCACTCAACGCCAACTAGCAGAGCCAGAGAGGACACATCATCACAATCCTGCATCCTGCTGCACTTGGGCTGCCCAGGAGAATTAGAGGAATCTGCTCGTAGCTGGGGAATCATTAGTCTGTGGGCTCCAGATTCTTGTCAGCTGACCCCGGAGCTGAGGGAAACCAATGGCTGACAGCACACTAATTACACGTGGCCACCCTGAATATTCGAAGCTACTGGAGAGTTTTCACAACACTCTGAAACTCATGGGAATTGTCTTCATCAAGCTGAGTGTTAAAGCACAACCTTTGTACAGAGAATACGATTAATAAAATTGGTCTACAAATATTGATCAAGCTTCTAATATATGTAAGTTCTGGAACAAGGTGAACTGATGATCTATAAAACATTTCATCAGACTGAGGAGATAAACTGTCAAGTGAATTGGAAAATGATTGCAGCCATAAGATATGCTTTGCTCTACTACTTGCCTATCAAAAATATACAGGTCAAATTTGTTTTCTTAATTACAGACAAAAAAGTATTTTTGAGATAGTTATATAAGTGCTTGCAATTCAATGAAATTGAGTTTTCAGCATAATTTGTTTTTGTTGCACGAACAGAAAAGTCTAATATATGCAACTTGTATTTCAGTTGCCACAGGCTGTTTGGCAAGATATTGAAAATTACTCATACCAATAAACAAGTGAATTCCACTGTAAAAGTTAAAAACAAAGACCAAGAGGGTGAAATAATTTAAAACTGCCTTAAGATGACTAATAGAATTATAAGGTAGAAAGAAGTAAAAATTAAACTCACAGACGTGACCATAATGACATTTTTTTTAATTTAAAGAATTAACCATAAAATTACAGTTTAATAAAATTTTAATATCTGATTTTTGATTCCAAAGACAATGTTTGGCAGTTGGGCAGTTGTCTTTAAAATAAGTTACTAACAAAAGCTTTTGAGACTACGTGGAAGAAATTAAAAGCTAGCTCATCTGATTTAGTGTTCAAAGTCCATGACTATGATCTTATTTATGGTTCTTCTAACAACAATCCAGAGGCCAGGAACAAGTTGATCTTCTGGGCTCTTAAAAACATGGCCCAGGGTGCCACAAGCTTCCATACTGGTTAAAGTGTAGGTGAAATGCAGCCTTCCCTCAAGGTTGCTCCCCACCTCTGATTTTTTGGTGGTCCTGATAATAGAGGACTAAATAGTCTTCATCTTGAAGATTGCTTAAGTTTTCGAGAGCTTCTTAAGTTGCTGCTTTTTCAGAGTTCTAGCAGTACTAGTTAATACTTCTGTAGCGCTGACAGTGTCCGCAGGTGCTTGCTAAGTACACATATTAACTCATTAAGCCCTCACAGCAATGCTGAGATATGAACTGTTATCTCCATTTTACAGAGGGAGAAACCAGGTCTGGAGAAACTATCGAGTCTTGTCTAAGATCACAAGCAGCTGAATGGCCCAGTGAGGATTTAAACCCATGTGGTCTGACTTAAGCACACATCCCCTACCCTCTGCAGCCACTAAATGGACAACCACCCACCACTCCTTCTAAAACAAAAAGTCTGTGAGGCAAAAAGCCGTGTCCTGGCAGGCTCTGTCTCTCAGTTCGATTTTGTTTGCCCCAGAGTAATTTTAGCCACCACCAGGAAGGAAACTTATCAGTTCCCTTGATTTTATCCTCCCCGGCCTCATTGTGTTTCTGTAATGAAACAGCCATGGGTGTTACAGGCCCTCTATAAACATAGGTCATTTGAATAAAGTGACTGACTGACAAAAGGCTGGCAGAGTTAATGATAATAAAAACAGCAGAACTAGTAGCTGACAGATTCTGGCTGGTTCCTATTAGAGATGGATGATTTTGTTTGAACTGAAGTATAAGAGTGACCCACAGAAAACCAGGGGAAAGGACACCTAGCTTCAAGCTGGAGATAAATTAAACAATTAAATCTAAATATTTCCTTTTTATTTTTAAGCTAAATTTATAGGGGTGACGTTATCTAATAAAATTTTATAGGTTTTGAGTGTACAATTCTATAATATAGGGTCTGACAATTACATTTGCAAACTCATCCTAGAAAAAGTGCTACAGGGCCGGCCAAGTGGCTCAGTTGGTTAAGAGCTTGCTCAAGAGTTTGAGCTCTGGGCCTGCCAAGTGGCGCGATGGTTAAGAACTGGCTTGGGATGCCAGAGGGCCCCGGTTTGGATCCCACATATGAGGGCCAGTGACACTGCCCTCTACAGCTAAGATGCTGAACAGCAGCTCAACCTGGAGCTAGGCTGCCATGAGTCGCCGGCGACGGCGTAGGCTGCAGCCCCTGTGGCAGTTGTAGCCAGCGGCCAGCAGCCGCAGTGAGCGGCCATCCAGAAGCCGGCGACTGACCTGCCTCACCCAGGAAGAGCGCAATGATGGTGCCAACTTGGGCCAGTGAAGCAACGTCCTCCACAACTAGACTAAAGAACAAAACGATAGCAACTTGTCTGTTCCCCTTCCCCCAATTCCCCAGCACTGTTCCCATCCCCCCAATTCCCCAAAAAAAATCTTAAAAAAAAAAAAAGAGTTTGAGCTCTGAGCAACAGCGGTTCGATTGCAGGCCCAAGCTGAGCAGTCACTGAGCCACCAACAGGTGGCAGGATGGCTCAGCTTAAAAATAAATAAATAAATAAATAAATAAATAAATAAGTGCTACATACTTCATTGCTGAATATCACTATGGTCACATTCGAAGTGCTCTCCTTGGGAAGCTATGCACCGACACCAGTGCCTAGTCCACCCTTCAAAGCAATTTGGGAACTCTTTTTCTGGAATGGCCATCAGGGCTCTTGTCGTTTTACTCTTGATGTCCTGAATATTATCAAAGTGTCTTCCTTTCAATATTTCCTTGATCTTCAGGTAAAGGAAGAAGTCATTGGGAGCCAGATCAAGTGACTAAGGAGGATGTTCCAATACAGTTATTTGTTTACTGGCTGAAAGCTCCCTCACAGACAGTGCCGTGTGAACTGGTGCATTGTTGTGATGCAAGAGCCATGAACTTTTGGCAAAAAGTTCAGGTCGTCTAACTTTTTACACAGCCTTTTCAGCACTTCCAAATAGTAAACTTGGTTAAGTGTTTGTCCAGTTGGTACAAATTCATAATGAATAATCCCTATGATATCAAAAAAGGTTAGCAACATCGTTG